TTTCTCAGTCGGGTTTCCAACGAGTTCCTTGATCCTATCCTGTGCCTTCTGGAGACTATGAAGTGAGGGGACACCTGTTGCCCCGAGCGCAGTTGCCCAATTCAGAATGGCCTTCTTTTGTGCTTCGGAGAATCGAAGATGGGGTGAGCTAAAGAGAAGATGCGTGATAAATTCCTGCTTTTAGAGTTAATGTGAGTGTAGCTATTGGGAGAATGACAGAACTTACAGATGTTGTCGCCCATGGAAAAGTCAGTGCATCCAGAGGAACCTCCGAGTTTGAAGCTGGGCCATCAGTTTCTGGGGATACACCTGGCTGTAGCATTAATAATGGAATGTGTGAATGTAAAACAGACTGTACGTACCTGAAAGGTCTATTCCATGATTGTCCGGCTCGAGACCATCATCAAGGTTCATGTCAATATCATCTGTCTCCATACCCAGCTCATCAGAGCTGGGGGGTAAGGGACAGGAAAACAGCGACTCTCCTCGCTGAAGAGCTGCCTGCATCTCTTCATAGTAGTCCACATGCAAAAATGTGCATGCTGACGCTGTGCCATGCCACAGCTCCTTGATCGGGAAGTAAGACTCGTCATCCTCCGCATCGTCATTTATAGTATCTGTCAGTGGAGGTGTCACATTTTCAGACATAGGATCAGAAGGTGGCTGGCCCCAAGAAGGTTCATCGTGTAAGGTCAGGTCGGATGGCTCAAGCATGTTGAAGTCAATGTTGGGCTGAAAACCGGGTGGAGGGGTTGCATGGCTACGGTGCAGTGCATGTGAGAGATTCCGTTGGTGCTTCTTTGTTCGGTCATGGGCAGCAATGTGACATTGGCGCATTGTCAGGATGGTATCCCTTAGCTTTGGGCACACCTTGCATATAACATGGCCCGTCTCGCTGGCTTGTGCATACACTGCAAATAAAATTAGTTTACATTTGAAGGCTTTGACATAAGACTGACCAAAAGGATCCAAGTCTACAGTTTTCTTCTTCGGCCACATTGGTGAGGCTCTAACGTTTTACTGTTTGACTTGAATGATTGAGAAAATGAACATGGATAGGTGCCCGCACAAGAGTATTCATATGCTCTTATATGAGCATCTACACATGTTCAGCATGCTGGTGAGGTCCAGTGAGGTCAAGGGCATGAGTGATCTGGTGGCAGAATTTGGATTGATCGATTGTTGATTGTGATGAAGCAGAACTTGAACTCACATGATGACCAACAGCAACTTGCAACATTGTTTCAACACACCTTCAAACCTCTGGCAACCATGTCTCTTACAAGAGCCAGCACGGATACTCTCCATGTCGATACGGTATACGATGAAAATGGACTTAGTCTTGCCTCTCTTTGCTTATCTATCCGCTTTGTCGGAAACATACAGTCACAGTTGCAAAACCCACCCACATTTATTGTCAGTCAATGTTTTTTTGCGTCGTCTTCCATCTCACAAAAAATTTCAGCCACTAAAAGTCTCTATCCATATTCCTGAAGCATATGCCAGTCAAATTTCACCCATTGTAGAATGTATCAGCCTACATGTTGCTTTGAGCGGTCGCCCATCATTGAATAGTCTACCAGAGGTAATTGGACTGCCCACACAGATACGTCAATGATAACATTATATGTAGGGCAGCTTTCCCTTCTTTCCTCTTGCACCCAGCTTCAATCACCTCAATGGTCGGACTTGGGCAGTGCTTGCCGATACCATTCAAGATTGGCTTGTGAACAATATTTCTTTGACACGTTCAGATGTGTGGTTGTGGGGCCGTGAATTTTTTTGGATGGCATTTGTTGCAGCATTTCCTGGATTTCTGCACCGAGAATGGCCACTGTGGGACCCAAAGATTGGCATGGAGGGCGAGTTTATCACCTATTGGATGTCTGACTTTGGTTCAGGCAGTGAGTGATCGCCCGACGACGTCCGGACTGGTGTGTGTTACAGGCATCCATAACACCTACTGGAGCCCCAGCTCTGCCTACGCCAGCCCCCACTCTGCTAGACTCCCGACGCGGCGGCACGCCGCCTGCACTTAGAAAGACAGCGGTCTGGACTGCTGTGACACCACCCCTGGCCTAGATGGCCTTGTACCTGATCCATGGAGGCTGTACGCCTCATGGTCACCCTAGATCAGCGCATGTATACCACATGTCGCTTCATGAAGATCCGGAGTGCCCTTGGCGCCTTATGTACTTATGCGCAGTCGCACTTGGCGCTGCATGCTTGATCAGAGGTTAAGCCTCATGTACCTTATCTGACCCTCACGTCTTGTTATCATAGATCCTAGATATACTATAGATTACTGACTGAGCTTGAACACTTACATGTAGCACATATAAGTAGACAGATTATTGTACTTAGACTTTACTTTAATCTACTAGGTTCATCCCAGAACTTGTTCAGCTAAGCCTCCCAGCTCAGCTGCCTAAGACCGCACTTCTAAGTCGGTCCCCGCTTCTTAGCCGTATCCGCTAGCCCTGTATCTCGACGAGCGCCGTCTTACCGAGATCACCGGAGGAACCCTTGACGTTCCGTCAAGCCGAGAACCACCCTTAGCTTCAGTAGGCTCACTCGAGCCGTCGCTAAGAAGACCTATCCTAGTTCGCACACGCCGACCGACGGTCAGCATAACAGTGTGTGGAGGAAATTTCATGATCTCGCAACTATGCTATACCCGCTTCCTCTCTTTCAGGAATATTGATTCCTACATTCATCCATGTACCTCATACCCATGTATTTTGTGTCGACCTTATTTACGCATAGAATAGGACAATGCATGTATTATTTTCTCCCATCCTTCTGGCCAAAAATCAATCTGTTTCAAAATTTGCAATGCAATGCTTGAGCTTACTATTACTGAGCGGGTCTCAGCACTGAGCTGAAATCACAACAACCAAGCAATCTGCATTAGATCTACTATAGTGGTCACCTAGACCTCAGTGTTGATGTTTGCCAGATATTCGAGCAATGACTTGTTGACCTCACGAGCTGAGCATCACATTAAGGTTTATATTACAGTGACATGTCTACATCACTTGCGGGTGCTATCACTGTTTGCCAGACCTTTCTTAGGCCCTTCAAAACACTGGTTCTTAATACAGGCAAAAAATTGTATCGCTAGGACCATTGGTCTATATATTTTTAATTGGTTCCTTGCGTGCTTAATTGCGACCGGACTAAGGTACACAATTGAACTTCCGTCAAATGTTAGGTAAAGCAAAAACCACGTTTGGCCGTGTACAGGGAATGATAGTACGTCCGGAACTTCGCGGTATGTATACAGACCATAAATTCACACGAACTTCAAGCATACACATTTACCGAAGGAGAAGAACACCGTCCTGCTCTCGTATAGCTATCCGCTCAATGTTTGATCGTGTCCAACACAGTCCCCGAGAATGCTATAGATGTAGATGGCGTGCTGCAACAACACAGGTCGACCACTCTGTGATTCTCCTACATGAATGCTGCACAACGACAAGCGACTAGGTATACCGAGTCTTTCGAACTTTCGACAACCACTCAAACTCAAGCTCAGTGGACCGCAAGCAAGACTAGGCACAGCCGATCATTTTCAGATAAATTCAAACACCCACGTCGCTCGAGCAGTACTAAAATTTGTCTAAAACAACAGAGTGCTGGTTGGCAAACTAGATATTGCACCATGAACCATGATACTAAAGCGAAAGCAGAAACATAACTCACTGTCGCGGTGCCCCGCTCTGGCTTCTGGTTGAGCGCTCGACCTTCGACCGACTATCCCTGGCAGTTACGACCGCTCTAAGGTGCACAGGTCAGTCTTGTGGTTGAATCCTAGTTGCACAGCGACCTGCTCATACTCACTCCATAATCGTAACAAATCATGTCATCGCAGCAATCGGAACTTATAGTGCAATATTGACCCGTGTTCCCACATGCACTGACAGACATAGATGCTGTCAAAGCAACAACAACGGCGAGGAGGGAGAAACACATTTTCTGTGCGAGATGTTATGGAATATTCTGAGGGGGATCTCGGATGATATCTCTGAGGATGAAGAATCATTATAGGAGGACGGCCAGCTTTATATTGACGGACACGTATCTGATCGATTTGGCCCAATTGTTGTTGCTAAGATGGCAGAAATTTCGGCAGAACCTGCAGGTGTGCTGAATTACAAACATTGTGTCGTGACCCAATCTCTCAGTCATCGCTTCATCATTTGAATATGCAGTGACCCTGCGCAACGACGAAATAGCGAGGCCAGAGTATAACAAGACGGACTCAATATTACAAGATTACAAGCATCATTCTTGTAACGAGGAACTATTCAGCGCATCAGCTGGGCTTGCGCAAGACTAGGCGAGGAGAGGTTGGGACAGTTCAGAATACTGAGAGCAAACAGCCCAGGTACCTATCCCTGCTCTAGCATAGTTACCCACCCAATGTTTGATCGTGTCTAACACAGTCCCCTAGAATGTTATAGATGTAGATGCCACAGCAACGCAGGTCGACCACTCTGTAATCGACCGCCCTCAAGCCACATGAATGCTACACAACGACAAGCGACTAGGTATGTACCATCAATCATGATACCAAAGCGAAAGCAGAAATGTGACTCACTGTCGCGACGTGCCACTCGGGCTGCCAGCTCGATTTTCGATTGACTAGTACTCGCAGTAGCAATCGCCCTAAGGCGCGCAGGTGAGTCATGTGGTTGAATCCTGGTTGCACAGCGACCTGCTCATACTCACGCCATCATCGTAACAGGCCAAGTCAGTAGTGCAGCAATCAAGATCTGTGATGCAAGTTTGACCCCGGGTCGAACATGACGACGACGAGGGAGAAACACATTTTCTGCGCGAGGTGTTATGGAATATTCTGAGAGGGAGATCTCGAACGATATCTCTGAGAATGAAGAAACACTATAGGACGACGGCCAGCTTTCATATCCTGCATATACTTATGAGCACAATTCTCATCGATTTGGCAGAATTGCTATAGCTATTGCAATGAGATGGCAGAAAATTCAGTAGAACCTGCAGGTGTGTTCAATTATAAACATTGTATTACTAGTGCTGCCGCGGTCCGGTCCAGAACCATGGTTCGAACCGGACTTTTGGTCCGGTTCTCCGCGGTTCGGTCCATGGTTCTTGCGCCAGCCAGAACCGGACCGGAAAACGGTTCTCGGTTCTAGATCTTCCCAAATGGTCCAGTTCTGGTTCGGCCTTCCCGAACCATTCCGAACCCTTATCGACTTCGACTTCGACAACACCTGCCTCGATGTCAGACTGTCGTCTTCGGGATTCACATTGTTGATTAATCAAGCTACATTTAGCCTTTTCGAAGGTATACCGGTAAGCACTAACTAATTAAACTCTCAAGTCTCTCACCCGCTCACCTCTATAACAGGAAGTTCTATTCATTGAGGACCGGCTACAACACTGCGCAAGACTACCTTTTACTGGAGGTGGATATGTTAGGCGTGGTCAAGGTGGATTTTGGAGGGATTGTGTCTTGCGCTATGCTGCAGAGGTGCGTATTTGTGCTCTGAATGCTGATGGCTCCCTCGAGGGCCAGCACCCATCGCTACCAGCACACAACCCATCACACGCCACGCCACCTGCGCCTATGTTGATGCCCGCCACCTCACTGCATCCCCTCTCACTCGCTTGCTGTTCTTGCCGGCTGGCTTTTGCTGGCTCGCTCGCCGTGTCTCACTCGCCCACTGTCTCTCACCCTCTGTCTCTCACCCGTTGTCTCTCACCCCGCTGGACGCGACCCACGCGATGATCTCCGGTTGATCTCCGGTTTTTCACTTTTGGCTTTGGCCGTCGGTGAGTAGTATTGTTCATCTCTCAACCATTTCTTACGCCTTACTTGAAAATGTCAGAGTGTGTCCTCGCGAATTGGTCAGTCTTCATCAATACGGCTCTCATCATGTGGGCTTTCCACTTTTCGGAGAATCCTGTGGCCGCCAGCATCACAATTTTTTCTGAAGCGCCGGCCACATCAGCATCTTCAGCAGCTACAGAGGCAGAGGGGTATGGAGTCGTCATTAGAGTAGCTACTCGATGTGTAAACTAGTATTTCAATGTTTTGTTTTTCGTGCTTGCCACTGAAAATTTTCGGGTTCGGTTCGAGTTCGGACCAGAAAAAAACCGAACCGGACCACAGAGAACCGTTCTCTGTGGTCCGGTTCGGGGTTTGAAGATTTTGCAGAACCGGACCATGGTCCGGTTCTCGGTTCTCGTCCAGGACCCTCTGAACCGGACCGAACCGGACCACGGCAGCACTATGTATTACTAGATGTCCACGGGAGTTCGCGCATTTTTGGCAAAACGGTTATTACTCCACATCGCACAAACAAACAAAATTAATTCTTTGACAGTTCGATAGCGTGACATCGAAAGTACAACGTCTGCTAGTTTTTTTTTCGAAAATTGACGTGTTGAGTCCAGCGGAGAGTTACCGCGCAGAAAAGTGCATTTTCCCTAGAGTTCGCGCACTTCGTCACACTATGTCACACGTCTGCCGCGATGCCTTTTCACGCTCCGCAGAATTCGCACCGTTTAAATGTTGTGAAGTTGTGCATGTGTAAAGCATTTCGGCATTGCGGAGTTTTGATTACACAGTCTCTATGTAACGCTTTGGGCAGATTGTCACGTCTGGGGCTTATTTCTTTATCGCAGATGATCCTGACAAGCATGTGCCCCGAATAAATTTGTTTTAGTATTCTCTAATCATGTATATAACCATCTCACAATATTCCAGAATTATATGTGGAGATCTGACCTTTAGAGTGAGCCTTCTATGCCTCTCGCACTGATAAGTTGCCCATGGAACAAGATCTACTTCGATTTTCTTCAAAAAAAATATATGGCAGTGTGTATTATGTTTGGTCGAATCCAGATCTATCATGGATAAGGATTCTGTGCAGAATTGCGTGTGCTAGAGTCAATGCGCGGACTCTTGGGACACACGGACTCGTGGGACCATCTAGTATAACCCAACTTCTTCGTCGCTTCATCATTTGACCCCGCAGTGACCCTGCGCAGTGACGAAATTGAGAAATCGATGTTCGTTCTCGTGAATCTCGTCGATACTTCTGATATGTACTCGTCACTATTTTGAAAATAAGATGAAGATGAAGCTAGCCTCAGAAACCTAAATACTTAGCTCAAGTTTCTGACATGACTGATAGACATGAAGCATCGTGATAAATTGCAAACAATCATGGTTATACACAAGCTCAGGTACGGCCCATTTTCGTCACTCATGCTCATAGGTCTCTGAATAATGTTGTAGCGTGACAGGATCTTCGACATAGCTGGCTTTCCTTTTAACAACGCCTCTCCGTACGATGTTTGGTATATATCGTAAACCATACAACAAGTACGGCACTTGCTGCGATTGGTGCAAATATTCATTGAGATGAAATTTATCTGTAACATAAAAGACCAGCTTACGCGGTCTTGGTGGGATCAGCTGTCGGTCCAACGTCTATCTTATCGACCATGTTCATCATCATTGCGCTGAACACTTGGCTGTGCAAGTACTACGTACAAATCACGTTAGATCGGATGCAACGACGACAAATAAGATAGCCATCACCTTATGAGGGTCGCGGAAGTTCCACACATCGACGATGTCAGTGTGAAGCACATATAGACCATCTCACATCTTGCGGTTCTTGAACGTTGGGCATGACACAAGCGCTTGACGATATCCTGCAAGACATGAAAATTTAGGTTGTATCATGAACGCGAAACTGGGACAGACTTTTCTTACCAGCCCTGACACTGCGTAAATCATGAGATAAGAATGAAGCAAGTAAGACTCACTTAATTAATGCTTTTATTTTGAGTATAGGATGTACTCGCCGAGCGATGGAGGTCATCATCACAGCCTCGGGCGTAGAATGCTGACCGACGCAGTTTTCAGTTATCTGGATCAGGTGGGCAAGGGTCTCCCTATAACAATCTTCGGCTGCAATGTTACATTTCAGAGGCACGCATGAACCCGTCAGGGTATTGGTACACACTAGAGTACCTCGGCTTCTGCTTTGTTCTTTGCGAGTTCTTGTATGAATTTGTCGCTAAAGGTATAGTCATCGATTTACTTACTGTTTCCCAGCGTTCCATCACGTTTCAATGTGAGGAATTCCTCTGCTCCCGTCTCTAGCAAATGTGCACTTGCACGGGGTATTTGAAAACAAAGCCTTCCATGTATTTTGTCAGTCCACCATAACGGAGTGCTTGAAATAGAATCTCTACCAAACAGCATGCAACTGATGTTGTGGAGACATGTCCCTCCGATGGTCAATGAATCTTGGACTATTCTCAGGTTGTCTTTTTCCCCTGGTTCAAAACCTATGCTATCGTGGAGAACATACCTGTCGTTCTGCGGTGAGATGAACTCATGGTCGATGCTGGCTTCGCCTGGCTTATCGCGCGCAATGATCTATTGGCAGTATGAGTAGTTGTGCTAGTTGAAGCGTCGCGTTCAGCTCACCGTGTTTTCCGCCGTTTCGTCCGCTCCAAATACGTGGTTGATCAGTGATGACTGGTCAACGCCAGTCTGTTAGTAAAAGCACGTCATCAACACTGGTCTGATATGGGAGAAAACCAGATACCTTTCCTATAACAAGAATTCGGAACCTTCAACCTTTCTAATCAGTCTAACAAGCTGAATTCCGTGTGAGATCTGAGCTTGCTGCGACCGACGGCCATTATGATAACGTCCGACGTCGCCCAGTATCAGCATTCTCGTGTACAAATCAAGACATGGACAAAAATCCTGATCTTTCGATGGGGTCGAGTTATGATACTGACACAAGAAATCGAACAGTGTTGGCGATCAGCGTATCGCTTTGCAGTTGGGCCATCCTGCGACTGCCTTCGTAAGCCGGACGGATGGACTGTTGAGTCCACTTTATGAAATGGACACGGGAAAAGATGCGTGGCGGAAGACATCAGCTGTGGGCACCATCCGAAATGATACTTCCCAATCCACGCCGCATATTTTCCCTCTGCTGCTCCCTTCTGCGTATCATGCTATAACAGCGGATGCAGCAGGTAAGCATAACCCTCCCCTCTGCCTGACATGCCGATATTCTCATACACGAGCGCTGACATATCTGATGAGGAAGACAAGGTCGAAGATGCCTGTCATTGAGCTGACGACGACGGGTGTTGGCTGGTGACACGAACTTGATAACCCGCATGTTACTAGAGATGGCCGGTACGTAGTCGGCGGTCGCTTACGCC